CTCCTCCCAGAAGGGGTGGTGCTGCTCGCCGAGGCTCATGCGCGACAGCCGCTGCACGGCGCAGGCGAAGTCCCACGTGGAGGCACCGAGGCCAAGCCCCGCGGGCTCCACGCCGCCGCCGTCGGGGGGCTGCCCGGGGGTGGCCCGGGAGCGCAGCGCCGAGATCAGGCCTGCGGCGGCATGAGGGAGGAGCAGGCGGCGCGCACAGGGGGGTAGGTGGAAGGGGGGAGTTTTCTAGAAGCTTCTTCAAGGCGCTGGCCCTACATCTGAAGGCAAGGCCCGCGCCTTCTCAGAAGCAGCAGCCTCCTACGAAGCCCAAGCCCTCCCCCATGCCCCCCTTGTCCGCGCCGACACAGGAGGGAAACTCCGACATCCAGGTGCTGCATCTGTTTCACACCAGGGGCCTCCGTTCAGTTTCGGCCCCTGGCGCAATCACAGATCGCTCGGGCTCGACAGAGATAGGGACTGGGGCCATGGTCGTGATTTTTCTGGACTCTCGCAACGCGGCAAAAGCAATCCGCACGCGCGCTCTAGGAGGCAGGGAGCGGGCGAACAAATTGTTCGGGCTGCAAGAGGAGAAAAGGAGGTGAAGGGCGGCCGCGAAGGCGGGTAGAAGCAGGAGGGCACTCACTGCACGAAGACCTTCGTCGGGAGTGGCCGGTGCGGCCAACTTGCGCAGAGGCAGCCTGGCAGTGGAGGCGGAGCGGCATCACGGCCAGACCCAGGGGTTGAGGCAGAGGCTGCCGGCGCAGGAAGCGCAGACCGAGTCGAACTAGTACAGGAGGAGGAGCGGCGAGCGGCATCCAGGTGTTCGTCAGGAGGCCGTGGGCGGCAGGCTGTACTGCAAGTACGGCGCCAGCGGGATGCGGGAAGGCCCGAGCGACCATGGGGGCTGGGCCAGCGACCAGCTTGCTGCTGCAAAATGCTGCCATACTGCCATGCTGATCTACTGGGAGCAGGGCTCGGGTTGACCCAAAAGGGAGTCCAGCGACAAGGGGGTGGTGCAATAGACTTGGTGCAATAGATTTGTGAGCTTGCAAAACATGTGGGGCTTGCAATACATTCTGGGGCGCAAATGTATTGCTGGATTTTCGCGTGCAGTACGTTAGCTGCAATGCATCGCAATGCAATCCTCTGGCGCAAGACATGTTGCCCCAAATCTATTGCACCACCCCCTTTCGGCTGGACCCCCTTTTGGGCCACCCGAAAGAGCTGCATGGCTGCCAGCTGCAGAGCTGCCGAGGGCTGCAAGGCAGAGCTGCAGCACTGCCCGGGGGCTGCCGAGCTGCCAGGCACCAACGGCTGAAGCGCCGCAGCGTGGCAGGGAGCCGGCAGCCACCGCAAGGGACGCCCGGGCGGCGGCAAGGGCGGCCAGAGGCGGGAGGGAGAGGGCCGCAGGACGGGCCGGCGTACGCCTCACAGCCGAGTGCAGGAGGAGAAGGAGGAGGAAGAGGAGGAGGAGGAGGAGGAGGAGGAGGAGAAGGAGGAGGAGGAGGAGGAGGAGGAGAGGGAGAGGGAGGATAAGGAGGAGGAGGAGGAGGAGGAGGAGACGCCCGGCCGCAGCGCTGGCCAGGCGGGGGCGCCCAGCTGCAGGAACGGCGGGGCAGGAGCTGCCCGCCGACCCAGGGAGGCCCAGGCGGCGGCGGGGCGGCCGGAGGCGAGGGGGGGGCGAAGCCGCCAGCCTGGCCGGGGCACACACACACACACACACACAGCTGGGCGGGGCGGGGGCGCCCAGCCACAGGGCTGGCCAGGCGAAGGCGCCCAGCTGCCAGAGCAGCGGGGCAAAGGGAGGAGCCACCTGGAGGGTGGACGCTCCAGCCAGGTGAAGAAGCACGGGGAGGGATGAGGCGGGGAGGGGCAGGAAGGTCTGCCGTAGACAGGTTTGCGCGATCGGCGGGGATCCGGCCGAACCGGGCGATCGCCCAGCCCACCCGGAACTCCAGCACGATCCCACCGTCCAGGTCCAGGCGATCGTCCCTGGCCGCCAGACTGCTGGCGGACAGATCAGTCGTGACGGCCGTCCGGCCGCCGCGGTTCCCTCTAAGTGCCACGGTCTCAGCAGCGTTAACGTCGCCGAGGATCTGAGTCTGTCACGGCAAAGGTCAAGGTCGGGGGAGTCCACTGCACTGGTGGCCTGCTGTCCGTCGGACCCGCTGGGGGGGCCGCAGACTTCCCGGCCCGCCGTCAGCTCCTGGAGATCCTGGTGCGCCGCCCGATCGAATGTGCCCTTCTGCGTCGGGGTCTCCCCTTGGGAGGGGGGCATCCCCGCGCACTGAGAGGCAGCGTTGACCGCAGGAGAGCGTTGAGGTGGGGCGACCGCCCTCGTGTGGGCGGCCACCTCGTTCAATCCGCCAGACCCGCAGACGCTAGGCCCGTCCCCCAGAAGGGAGGGCCTCGGGTCATGGGGTCCACCCAGTGCGTTAGGGCAGTCGGGAATCATCGTCACGCGTGTGCCAGGGACGCGACTGGTCGTCGCAGGGACTTGTAGCCCTGGTCGCGACTTCACACAATATTGCGTTTTTGTCTGAACGTCTGACTTGAGGGGAGGAGGGATGGGGATCAGGGGGCGCCTCCTCATCTTCTTCTTGTTCCTCCTCCTTCTCCTCCTCATCCTCCTCCTCATTAGCATCCTCCTCATCATCCTCCGCCACCTCCTCCTTCCATCATCATCATCATCATCATCATCATCATCATCATCATCATCATCATCATCATCATCATCATCATCATCATCGTCATCGTCATCGTCATCGTCATCGTCATCGTCATCGTCAGCATCATCAGCAGCATCAGCAGCATCAGCATCAGTATCATCATCATCAGCAGCATCATCATCAGCAGCAGCAGCATTAACAGCATCGTCATCATAATTATCATCATCAGCCTCATCAGCATCATCATCATCGCCATAATCATCATCATTATCAGTATAATCATCATCAGCATCATCATCATCATCACCATCATCATCATCCTCATCATCATCAGCAGCATCATCATCATCATCATCACAATCATCATCACCATCATTTTCATCAGCATCATCACAGTCATCACCATCATCATCATCAGCATCAGTATCATCGTCGTCATCATCATCATCATCATAATCATCATCGTCATCATCATGAGCAACATGAGCATCATCATCATCGAATCAGCATCATCATCAGCAGCAGCATCAGCAGAATCATCAGCATCATCATCATCAACATCATCATCCGCAGCAGCATCATCATCAGCATCAGCATCATCATCAGCAGCAGCATCATCAGCAGCAGCATCAGCATCATCAGCAGCAGCAGCATCAGCATCATCATCATCAGTATCATCATCACCATCAGCATCATCATCATCAACATCATCATGAGCATCAGCATCCTTATCATCATCAGCGTCGTCATCAGCATCATCATCAGCTTCGTCATCGTCATCATCGTCATCATCATCGTCATCGTCAGCATCATCATCTTCATCATCTTCATCATCCTCATCCTCATCATCAGCATTATCATCATCAGTATCGTCAGCATCATCCTCATTATCGTCGTCATCGTCATCGTCATCGGCATCGCCAACGTCATCATCATCTCATCGTAATCACCATCCTCCGTTGTTCATATCATCGCCACCACCATCACCGCAACTATTACCCTCATCACCACCACCACTTCCACCACCATCACCATCGTCATCATCGTCGTCGGTATCATCAGCCGCAGCATCCTAAGTTTCTTCATCATGCAAATCATAATAAGCATCAGCTCAACCTGCTCATCATCACCACCACCAATACCACCTCCACCATCATAAAAGCCTTTGACAACATAAAGGGCATCTGAATCATCAACACTGCAACCGCCACCACAAAGACCCACCACAACCACCACCATCACCAGCATCACCATCACCAGCAGCATCATCATCATTATCAGCATCATCATCAGCAGCAGCATCATTATTATAATCATCAGCAGCAGCAGCATCATCACCATCATCATCAGCATCGTCATTGCCGTCGCCAGCGTTATCACTAACATCCGCATCATCACCATCGTCATCATCACCAGTGTACTTACTAACACTATCAGTATCACCATCGACATCATCATCGCCATCGTCGTCATCAACATCATCCGCATTATCATCCTCATCATTATCACCATCATTGACGCCGTCGCCTTTGGCGACACCATCCTACTTATTCCACCTCCCCCTTCTCCTTACTCTTCCTCAACCGCCTCCTCCTCATGCTCCTCCTTTTCCCTCATCCTCACCCTCCTCATCCTCATCAAACTCCTCCTCCTCCTCCTCCTTCTCCTCTTCGGTATCATCATCAGCAGCATCATCATCAACATCAGAATCGTCGCCATCGTCATCCTCATTATCATCCTCATCAGCATCATCATCCTCATAGTCCTCAACATCATCATCATCATCATCATCAGCAGCATCATCATAATCATCAGCATCATCATCAGCATCATCATGATAATCCTCCTCATCATCATCATCATCATCATCATCATCATCATCATCATCATCATCATCATCATCCTCATCAGCATCATCATCTGACCCTGATCCTTCTCGGCTGCATCCGCCTCCTCACCCCTCACCTCCCCTCTCCAACCCGCGCGCGCTCTCGAGTGCACTGGGGGGCGGGGGTAAGGAGGAGAGAGAGAGAGAGAGGAGAGAGAAAGAGAAAGAGGAGAGGGAGGAAAGAGGGAGGAGGCGAGAGGGAGAGGAAAGGAGAGAGCGAGGGAGGGAGGGGATGGAAGAAGGAGGGAGGGAGGGGAGTGGAGGAGGCGCAAGCGAAGAGTGGAGAAAGAAGGGAGGAAATAAGGGGGAGGAGAGTGAGGGAGGGCGAGAGTGATGGAGCCGGGCTCTCGTGGGCGCGCGCGACGGACAGCCGAAGCCAGGAGAGCAGAAAAACTACCAGGAGGGCAACGGAACGAGATATGGTCAAGGATGCAGGCTCGACGGCACTTCGCAGGATCAGGGATCGAGGATCAAAGATCGAGGAGCGAGAGCCTGGTCGAGGATCGATGGGGCGAGTCGCCTTGGCCCCTCTCTAAGCCTCCGGAGACACATAGAGACTCCCCATACGGGAGGAGCAGCAGGACGAGAAGGTCCATGAGAGCAACGGAACGAGATCTCCTTCCTGATTGACCAGACCCTGGCATGAGTGGGAACTCGTCACGTCACCCTCCTTCTACGCTGTGCGCACTTAACCAGCGGAGCTGGTTAAGTGCGCACAGCGGCCAAACAAGCAAAGAAAGTCCGACTGAGCGACGCGACGGCACGTGCAGAGTTGGAAGCGCAAAAAGTCCGAGAAAGGTAGAGCAGCCCTCCTCATCCTCCACCTCATCCGCCTCCTCCTCCTCCTCTACGCCCCTGCTCCTTTTCCTCCCCCTCCTCCTCCACCTCCCCCCCCTCCTACATGCTCCCGCCTCCTCCTCCTCATCCTCCTCCTACTTCTTTTCCTCCTCCTCCTCGTCCTCCTCCTCCTCCTCATCCTCCTCCTCATTATCATCCTCTTTCTCCTCCTCCTCCTCCTCCTCCTCCTTCTTCCCCTCCTCCTCTTCCTCCTTCTCCTCCTCCTCATCCTCCTCCTCCTGCTCTGGAGGAGGAGGCCTCAAGAGATTGGGGACTGCGGAGGTCCCCCAAGCTCTCCAGAAAGTCCCCCAGAGACCCCCAGAGGCCGCTGGAGACCTCGAGAGACCCAGAAGGGCAGAGGCACGCAAGACCTGGACGGTCGATCCTCTCGTTGTGCTCCTGCTCCCACACGTTCCCAGCCGATCTGAACCTCCTGCTCCCACGTTTCTTTCCACGACCCGCGCCAAGCAGCATGACACTGACAACTCCATCAGCAGCACGCTCAGCAAGGGCAGAGGCATGCAAGACCTCGACGGCCGGTCCTCTTCCCCAGGACGAGTTCTTCAGCCTGAGTCGTTCTCTGACAGTCCCAGGACCCGTGGAGGGCCCCGAGAGCCCGAAGAAGGCGAAACAAAACTCAGGACCCGTCTCGTTCAGGGACCGTTTCCCCATGGCGACTCTTTCTGCTCCTCCTGCTCCCACGTTTTTTTGTTCCCGGATCTGTACCCATCAACATGACACTAACAACTCCCTCGGCAGCACGCTGAGTGAAACAACTCGCACTGCAACTGACCTCGTGCGACGAAGCCGGAACGTCCTCCTGCTTACACGTGGGATGAGGGGGGTCCAGAAGAAGAGAAGCAAAAAGAGCATACACTGAAACTTTGGGAGGTCCGCGCGGGTGTCTTGGATCGACGTTGGACCGCCCTCCCTGGCGGGCGGAGCGCGCCAGGGGCGGCGCCGGAGGCGCCGCGGGGAGGGGGCTAGCGCCAATCCAAGAAATCGGCGCGGAGTTCCGTTTATGTTTAGTTCCCCACATCCTGAGTGGGGTTCTTGTTTTCCCAGAACACCCTCTCCTTCCCACCCACCTCCCGCTCCATCTTCCATACAGCACAATATAATTCCTACCACACACACACCATACCATACCATAGTTCCTACCACACATACCATACCATACCATACCATACCATACCATACCATACCATACCATACCATACGTACCATACCGTACCATACCATACCATGGCGTACCATAGCATACCATACCATATCACACCAATGCCACACCGTACCATACCATACCATACCTCCAGTACCATACCATACCATATCATACCATACCGTACCATACCATACCTACCATACCATTCCATACCACTCCATACCGAAAACCATACTACTTACATGGTTTCGTGCCCCTCCCACCCCTCCAGGGAGGCCCCGCCTGAGCGAGGAGGGTATCGGAATACCATACTATTTACATGTTTCGTGCCCCTCCCACCCCTCCAGGGAGGCCCCGCCTGAGCGAGGAGGGTATCGGAAAACCATACTATTTACATGGTTTCGTGCCCCTCCCACCCTCCAGGGAGGCCCCGCCTGAGCGAGGAGGGTATCGGAAAACCATACTATTTACATGGTTTCGTGCCCCTCCCACACCTCCAGGGAGGCCCCGCCTGAGCGAGGAGGGTATCGGAAAACCATACTATTTACATGGTTTCGTGCCCCTCCCACCCCTCCAGGGAGGCCCCGCCTGAGCGAGGAGGGTATCGGAAAACCATACTATTTACATGGTTTCGTGCCCCTCCCACCCCTCCAGGGAGGCCCCGCCTGAGCGAGGAGGGTATCGGAATACCATACTATTTACATGGTTTCGTGCCCCTCCCACCCCTCCAGGGAGGCCCCGCCTGAGGCGAGGAGGGTATCGGAATACCATACTATTTACATGGTTTCGTGCCCCTCCCACCCCTCCAGGGAGGCCCCGCCTGAGCGAGGAGGGTATCGGAAACCATACTATTTACATGGTTTCGTGCCCCTCCCACCCCTCCAGGGAGGCCCCGCCTGAGCGAGGAGGGTATCGGAATACCATACTATTTACATGGTTTCGTGCCCCTCCCACCCTTCCAGGGAGGCCCCGCCTGAGCGAGGAGGGTATCCGAAAACCATACTATTTACATGGTTTCGTGCCCCTCCCACACCTCCACGGAGGCCCCGCCTGAGCGAGGAGGGTATCCGAAAACCATACTAGTTCCCCACATCCTGAGTGGGGTTCTTGCTTTCCCAGAGCACCCTCTCCTTCCCACCCACATCCCGCTCCATCTTCCATACAGCACAATATAATTCCTACCACACACACACACCATACCGTACCATAGTTCCTACCACACATACCATACCATACCCTACCATACCATACCACACCATACGTACCATACCGTACCATACCATACCATGGCGTACCATAGCATACCATACCATATCACACCAATGCCACACCGTACCATAACCATACCATACCTCCAGTACCATACCATACCATATCATACCATACCGTACCATACCATACCTACGAGGAGGGTATCCGAAAACCTTACTATTTACATGGTTTCGTGCCCCTCCCACCCTTCCAGGGAGGCCCCGCCTGAGCGAGGAGGGTATCCGAAAACCATACTATTTACATGGTTTCGTGCCCCTCCCACCCCTCCAGGGAGGCCCCGCCTGAGCGAGGAGAGTATCGGAAAACCATACTAGTTACATGGTTTCGTGCCCCTCCCACCTCTCCAGGGAGGCCCCGCCTGAGCGAGGAGGGTAGCAGAAAACCATACTCTTTATACGGTGTCGTGCCCCTCCCACCTCTTCAGGGAGGCCCCGCCTGAGCGAGGAGGGTATCCGAAAACAATACGATTTACATGGTTTCGTGCCCCATCCCACCTCTCCAGGGAGGCAAAACCATACTATTTACATGGTTTCGTGCCCCTCCCACACCTCCAGGGAGGCCCCGCCTGAGCGAGGAGGGTATCCGAAGACAATATTATTTACCTGGTTTCGTGCCCCTCCCACCTCTCCAGGGAGGCCCCGCCTGAGCGAGGAGGGTATCCGAAAACCATATTATTTACATTGTTTCGTGCCCCTCCCACCCCTGCAGGGAGGCCCCGCCTGAGCGAGGAGGGTATCGGAAAACCATACTATTTACATGGTTTCGTGCCCCTCCCACCCTCCAGGGAGGCCCCGCCTGAGCGAGGAGGGTATCCGAAAACCATACTATTTACCTGGTTTCGTGCCCCTCCCGCTCCAGGGAGGCCCCGCCTGAGCGAGGAGGGTATCGGAAAACCATACTATTTACATGGTTTCGTGCCCCTCCCACCCCTCCAGGGAGGCCCCGCCTGAGCGAGGAGGGTATCCGAAAACCATACTATTTACATGGTTTCGTGCCCCTCCCACCCTCCAGGGAGGCCCCGCCTGAGCGAGGAGGGTATCCGAAAACCATACTATTTACATGGTTTCGTGCCCCTCCCACCCCTCCAGGGAGGCCCAGCCTGAGCGAGGAGGGTATCGGAAAACCATACTCTTTACATGGTTTCGTGCCCTTCCCACCCCTCCAGAGAGGCCCCGCCTGAGCGAGGAGGGTATCCGAAAACCATACTCTTTACACGGTTTCGTGCCCCTCCCGCCCCTTCAGGGAGGCCCCGCCTGAGCGAGGAAACCACCAACGCCGTGTGCACAAAACCATAATGCAGCGATACATTGTTTGGGAGATTATTGGCAGTCTTTTAAACCGCTCTTGGCCGATCAGTGTCTGCGTTCGAATTGTAGTTACCAGACACCTCGGCAAGTGCTTTCGTCTAGCGAACTCGTGTCGCCCACCCTCTTGTATAACCTCGACTGGACGAGGGAAATGAGACCACTCAGACCAACCTCACGAATCGGACCTCACGAGGAAAATGAGACCACTCAAACCAACCTCCCGCTGCTGCTCCTGCTGCGGTTCCTGCTGCTGCTCTTCGCCATCATCCATCTTATCCTCTTCCTCCTCCTCCTCCTCCTCCTCCTCCTCCTCTTCCTCCTCCTCCTCCTCCTCCTCCTCCTCCTCCTCCTCCTCCTCCTCCTCCTCCTCCTCCTCCTCCTCCTCCTCCTCCTCCTCCTGGAGGGTATCGGAAAACATGCTGTTTACACGGTTTCGTGTCCCCCCTCCACTCCTCCAGAGAGGCCGCGCTTGAACGAGGAGGGTCGCGGAAAGCATTACTCTTCGCCAGGTTTCGTAGCCCTCCCCCCTTCCAGCGGGGCCCCGCCAAAGCGAGGAGGGCATCAAGAAAATGGGTCCCACGAAACCGTTAATCTCTTTATGTGGGGAACTCCGTTAGCATAATTTGTTGTTCTTCCACGAGGAAGTGGGGGAGGTATGGCGGGAGGCCTACCACGAGGTGCTCCACCTTCTCCTGGTTCCCCTGCCGGATCGCCAGGAGGACCTGCACGACTGGGAGGCCCAGGACAGAATGGTTGGGCTGAAGGAGGAGGAAGAGCAGGACGAGGAGGAGGCCGAAGAAAAAGAAAGCTCCAGTAGGAGGAAAAAGAACGAGCGCGAAGAGGAGCACGAGGAGGAGGGAAGGAAGACTACGATGGGGAGGAAGATGAAGACAAGGGAGAACTGCGAGAGGGGAGGAACGGCCAGGCAGACGAGCGGGAGAGGACAAGGAGGGGCTCCAGGAGGAAGAGAGCGAGCTCAAGGTAGAGGAGGGCGATCAAGAAGAGGTCCTCTCCTCATTCACCTCCTCCTGCTTGTCCCTTTTTCTCCTCCTCCGCATCCTCCTATTATTCTGCGTCTTGTTACTAAAACGAAAAGAAATAGCATTTATAGTATTACAATCATCCTTAGTACGACAAAGATGGATTGATAATAGCATGCTTATCACTACTATGCATAATAGTATTGATTTTCGTATGGGCACACTCTTCTTAACACCCGACGCTAGAGTATATGAATATATATATATGTGTATAATCATTATTAGTACTGATCGTACTATATGTATCAAGTTGATTCGTGTGTTTGTTATTGTTAGTGTGCTGCGCGTCGGTCTTTTTAATCATTCGATAGTGTGTACTCTAGTATTACGATTACCTGACTTGTCTGAACAGGCTTCTCCGTGTGAGTAGTACACTGTTAGTCTTAACGTTAGTGCTCGTATTCGTACTTGTCGTCATGTGAATATGAACATGTTGATCATGTTGCTAGTACAATGACTCTTGATCCTAGCATATTTCGTACTCGTAATCAGAGTATGGTTGTTGGAATTATTAATACGCCCATGATTACTCCACCTAGTCCATACTTGTTTTACTGTGAGTAGTGCTATTATCCGATGTTACTAATGCTCCCCCTCCTGAATATATTATTGCTCCTCGTCCTCATATGACTCATATGAATGCTTATACTGCTAGCTTAAAGTATTACCATCAGCAGTACTACTACGGTAGTGATCGGTCGTATCATTAGTAGTAGCAGTGGTATGCTTCTACTAGGATGTATCAGCATAACTGCCAGTATCAGCATTCGTATTACGACTACTACTACTACTACTACTACTGCTGCTACTGCTACTACTACTGGTGCTACTACAACAACTCGAACTACTACGACTACCACTACCACTACTACTCTTTTCTTCTACTGCTACTACTACTACCACTACTACTACTATTACTACTACTACTACTACTACTACTACTACCACTACTACCACTACGACTACTGCTGCTACTACTACTACTACTACTACTACTGTAAATAATAATAATAATACGACTCCTACCACTACTGCTACTACTACTACTACTGCTACTATGTTATTACTACTACTACTACTACTACTACTACTACTACTACTACTACTACTACTACTACTACGACTACTTCTACGACTACTACTATTACTTACTACTACTACCAGCATAATTACGACTACTACGACTACTACGACTACTACTACTACTACTACTACTACTACTACTACCACTACTACTACTACTACTACTACTACTACGACTACTACTGCTCAGGTCACTACTACTACTACTACTACTACTACTACTACTACACCTACGACTACGACTGCGATTACTACTACTACTACTACTACTACTACTACTACTACTACGACAACTAGTACTACTACAACTACTACTGCTATTACTACGACTACTACGACTACCTCTTCTACTATTCTACTACTACTACTACCACTACTATTACTACTACTACTACTACTACTACTACTACTACTACTACTATTACTACTACTACTTACTACTACTACTACGACTACTACTACTACTACTACTACTACTACTACTTACTACTACTGCTACTACTACTACTACTACTCTACTACTACTACTACTCTAATACTACTACTACTACTACTACTACTACTACTACTACTACTACTACTAACTACTACTACTACTACTACTACTACTACTACTACTACTAACTACTACTATACTACTACTACTACTACTACTATACTACTACTACTACTACTACTACTACTACTAACTACTACTACTACTACTACTACTACTACTACTACCTACTACTACTACTACTATTACTACTACTACTACTACTACTACTACTACTACTACTACTACTATTACTACTACTACTACTCTACTACTACTACTACTACTACTACTACTACTACTACTACTACTACTACTACTACTACGACTACTACTACTGCTACTGCTGCTACTACTACTACTACTAATAATACGACGACTACTACTACTACTACTACTACTACTACTACTACGGCTACTACTACTACTACTACTACTACTACTTCTACTGGTACTGCTATTGCTACTACTACTACTACTACTACTACTACTACTACTACTACTACGACTACTACTACTACTACTACTACTACTACAACTACTACTACTACTACTACTACTACTACTACTACTACGTCGACTACTACTGTTACTATTACTACTTCTACTTATACTTCTACTTCTACTTTTACTACGACTACTACTCATATGAATATCACACATTCGTATTCGTGTTGCTATTGCTGAGTTGTGTCCTCCTCCCTCTCCTCCTCCTTCTCCTCCTACTCCCCCTCCTCCTCCTCCTCCTCCTTTTCCTGCTCCTCTTGCCCCTCCTCCTCCTCCTCGTCCTCCTTTTCCTCCTCCTCCTTCTTCCTCTCCTTCTCCTCCTCATCCTCCTCCTCCTACTCCTGCACCTTTTTCTCCCTGCTCCCCCCCTCCTCCATCCTCCTCCCTCATCCCTCCTCTCTCCCGCCTTCCCCCTCCAGTGTCCACCCCTCCCGCGGCCTCGCGCGAGACGTTGTAGCCCCCGCCCCACATCGCGGAGCGCAGGGCGGCCCGGCACCGCGCCGGAGCTCCCGCCTTCGCGCGGCCTCGGCCCCTCCGCTCGGCGCCGGCAGGCGTGCGCACGGCAGGCGCGCACCGCTCCGGCGCCCCCCCTTTCGCTGGATCACGGCATCCGCGGCCACGAGACGAGACGAGACGAGACGCTGCAGGTGCGCGTTGGCGCGCGGCCGGGCGGGGCGAGTCGGGGCGCGCCCGCTCGAGCCGGCGCGCGAGCGCGATGGTTCTGCGTGTCTCTTTTGCTGCAGTTCCTCCCGTTCGTGCCGTCCCTGCTGCCACATCCCTTCGAAGGGGCCCACAGGCACACAAATAAGTACACACAAATACAAAGATTCCCCATAGTTCCCCATATGTTCTGGGCTTCTGTCTTCCCCCCACTTCCACTATGTTTGCCATATCTTCTGGGAGTCGACGATTAACTGTGTCTGTGTGTTTCTTTCCCTCCTGACCCTTCTGCTGCCCTCCGCTCCTCCGCCGCTCTTTCCTTTTGCTGCCCTCCGCTGCCCGTTTCCCTTCGTTTTCCTGCCTCCCCCCCTCTTGCTCCGGCCCCTCCGCGTCGCCGCCCCTTACCCCCTCTTTCTTCTCGCCACCTCCGCGCTCGGCACAGGGCCTTGGTCCGTGGGCCGAGCGAGGAAGAGAAGGAGGGACAAGAGGGGAAGGAGGAGGAAGGAAGGAAGAGGGGAGAAAGGTCGGGAGAAAGAAGGGGAAGGAGGGAAGAGGGGAAAGAAGGAGAAAGAGGGGAAGAGGGGAGAAAGAGGAGGAAGGAAGGAGAAAGAGGGGAAAGAGGAGAAAGAGGGGAAGAGGGGAGAAAGGTCGAGGAGGAAGGAGGCACGAGCACGAGGCCGAGCCCCAGCCCAAGCCCGAGCTCGAGCCCGAGCCCGAGCCCGACCCCGAGCCCGACCTGGTCACTGAGGCAGCGCGGACGCGGACCGTCCGAGGTCGCGCGCGCACGCCATCGCCCGAAGTCGAGCGCGGGACGGCGGCAAGACCTCCAGCCCCCCCCCCCCCCCGACTAGGGAGCCCACAAAGGACGTACGCGCCCAGCTATGTACATGAACACGGCCCCTCGATCCGCGAGACCGGCCGCGTGGTACGAACAGTTGAGCAATGCGTACTCTCGAAACCAGCGTGGATGCATGTACGCGTACGTCCTTCTGTCGCTCCTGACCCGACTGGCAGAGGAAAGGGTGGGACGAAAGGCTGGCGCACGGAGGCGGGAAGGGCTGGCGGCGCGCAGAGGGGGGGCTGCCTGGAAGGAGGCTGCCTCTGAGGAGAAAGAGCGGGCCCTGCGCCTACGGACAAGGTGCGCGCCCTCCAAGGAGGCAGGGGTGCTCCGACAAAAAGACTTCCCCCCTCCCCCCGCCCGCGGCTCACGGGCACGGGCGCGGAAGAGAAATCGGAAAAAAGGGATGAAGAACAGGCATGCAAATAAACTTTTTGATGCCCGCGCTGACTGTGCACATCGGAGCTGGACCCGCGACCCCGGCGAGCAGAGCGCGCCGAGGGAGGCGCCGGAGGCGCCGCCCGGGGGAGCCTCGGTGACGATGGGAACAAACCCGCGCGGAGGTACGAAAGTTCATGTTAGTGGTTTGCTTACACGTCGGTCAGAAGAAGTAGGTAAAAACATGAAGTAGGAAGGCGGAGTAAGTGGATTGGGTCCAGGCCCCCCAGAGAGCAACAAAACACAGCAAAAGCGTGTCGATTCTTGGAGTAGGAAGGCGCTTGAAATAGATTTGGATCTGCGCATCCAAAAATACCTACTTTCAACGACTGGCGTATATTTTTCAAGGAAAGTCCTCTGGGGAGGAAGGCTGGGCGGCGACAACCAGTGGCCGGCGGCCGCGAGCACGAGGTAATAAAGAAAGAGAAGCTGCGCAGGCCTAGACTCTCGAAGGTCCGCGCGGTGTCTCGGATCGGATTTGAGCCCCCCCCCCATGGCGCGCAGAGCGCGGCAGGGGCGGCGCCGCAGGCGCCGCCGGAGAGGGCCGAGCGGCGGTCGGAAGAGGCTGCGCGGGCCTCCCGAAGTTCGCGCCCAAAGCTTCGTTCGCCCTCGAGGAAGAGACCCCGGCCGCGGAGTCAATCTCCGACGACGGGCGCAGTCCCCACACAGCCTGGAGGGCCGCCCAAGAGAGAGAAGACGAGGTAACGTTTCGAGACAACCACACACGGGCCCCCAAAGGCATCCCAGGCGCCCCCCGTCAAAAGCCGGCGAATACCGCCGACTGCATACTAGGGCGGCCGCAGGCGTCCTCTTCCTCCTCCTCCTCCTCCTCCTCCTCCTCCTCCTCCTCCTCCTCCTCTTCATCCTCCTCCTCCTCCTCCTCCTCTTCCTCCTCTGATTCCTCCCCCTCCTCCTCCTTTTCTTCCTCCTTTTCCTCCTCCTCCTCCTCCTTCTCCTCCTCCTCCTCCTTCTCCTCCTCCTCCTCCTCTTCCTCCGTCCTCCGTCGACAACGGCGACGTCGTCGACAGCGACGAAAACGACCACCACCACGAAGACGACCACCACAACAACGACGGCACAAACGATGGCGGCCATCACAACGACGACGGAGGCGACGACGACGACGACGACGACGACGACGACGACGACGAGCACCACCACGACAACACCAGCAAGACGACGACGCTATGACCACGACAGCAAAGGCGGCGACGACGAGGACGACGACGACACGAACAACAGCAACGATGGCGACGACGAAGACAACGACGACGACGAGCACCACCAACCAATGACCCCCACAACGACATCTAAGATGACCACGACGACGGTGGCGGCAACGGCGACAACGACAACAAGCATCACCACGACAACCAACAACACCACGCAACAGCGACAACGGCAGCAAAGACAACGATATTAATCCGCCCAGTGCCAATTCGTCCGGTAGTATCAACCCGTCTGGTGTCAACAGGTCCTGTGTCAAGTCGTCCAGTGTCAAGTCGTCGGGTGTTGGAACGTCCGATGACCAGTCCTTCGATATCACCGTAGAGCACTACTGAGCAGACCAACCAATCACAGCGACGACAAGTGAAACGAAAGCTAACGAAACGGAGGCGCACGAATCGAAGGAGGACGAAACAAAAGAGCGCGAAACGAACGGCGAAAGAAACGAAAGAAGACGAAACGAAAGAGGACGGAACGAACCACGGGCGAAATCAACGACGGGCGACATAGAAGAGGAGGAAATGGAAGAGGGAGGAATGATCCAAGACGAAACGAAAGAAGGCAAAACAAAAGAAGAAGAACAGAAAAAAAGAGGAAATGAGCTGCCCGCGGGCCCAAAAAAAACTTCTGGGAGCTGAGCGAGGACTCTAGATGCACCGCCTGGTGAGAGCTGCGCGCGGGCAAAAAAAGCGGCGCCAAGGAACTGCGCAGACGCTTGCGGCCCAAGCAGCGGGAACGCGCAAGAAGAACGCTTGCGGGACACGGTAGAGCTTCCAGCAACTGCCCAGTCGTCGCCAGGTCGGCAGCCGCGGAGAGGATGCTGGCCTAGCCCTGCCTGCCAGCCACTTCACTGCCTCACAGATCGCCCACAAAGCTCTGCGGGGGCGCAGGCTACGCGCGGGCCGAGGCGCTGCCCAGGAGCTGCGCGCGAGCAAACAGCGCAAGCTGCCCCGGAGCTGCCCCGGGCGAAGCGCAGCGCGGGGGGTCTGCGGCCCAGTTGGGCACCGCTCGGAAAGCGCAGGCGGGACAACTTAGGCATCCAAGAAGGATGCTGCGGGCCCCGGCAGCCGCGGACAGGGTGCTGGCCCGCCCCTACCTACGCAGAGTCTCACGCTGTCTCAAGAAACTGTCCGGGAACCGCTGTCAGCGAGGCGCGCGGGCGGCGCGGGCGGCGCGGGCGGCGCGAGGACGCGAGGGCGGCTTTCTGGCGCCCTGGGCCCTGAACCAGCGAGGGCAGCGCTGCCTCGCACGCGACGGCGAGCTGCGCGCGACCCGGGAAGCGCGCGGTTGTGAGATCAGCTACAGAAGGACCCAGCAAGGGGCGGCGGGAACGACTCCGCAGCGGCCGTGAAAAGGACGCTCGCCTAGACTGGCCTGCCAGCTTCGGCGCTGGCACTCAACAGCTGTCTCGTGGAACAACCATCGAAGAACCGCTCGTGTAATCCAGAACCCGGATCGCGCAGAAGCTCACACTGCCTGGGGGCGCGCATATGCAACAGACACTCACACAGATGCGCACAGTCACACTGGCTGCGGGCGCGAGCGCACCCGCGCACGAGCGCGCGGCCCCGGGGGCGCGAGCGCACCAGCGCACGAGCGCGCGGCACGCAGGCCCACGAGCGCCTCGCGCAATCCGGAGCCGGGATATAGCCCAGCAGCAGCGTCACGCGCCAGTGCCTGCGCCCGCGCCCACACCTTCCTCAAGGGCCCACGCTGCCCTGGAGCTCACAGCTGCCCACCCCCCAACACGAAACCCAAAACTGCTGCCTCGGCGGAGCTGCCCGGGCGCCCTCCACTGGCAGCCAGTGTGAAACCATCGACCCGCCGGGAACCTCGCAGAACTCTCTGAAGCGATTTAGGCACACGACAGGGACCAGGATGCAACGCGATGGTTTTTGAGAGCATTGCTGAAAAGACTGAAGAAGATTCCTTCCGAGACTTTCAACATGAGCTCTCTTCGAGCAAACTCGCGCGATCATTAATGCAGCTACCATGCGATTGGCACAGAAAACGTCACAAGGTCCTACAGGCACGACAAACTGACACCACGATATGACTGTTCAAGTCTCCCGCAGTCTTGCCACAGCCAATCCCAAGTTACCACTCTGTCCGTTCTGGTCGGATCGGACAACTCGCTCCACCAGGCGCTCGCAGCCCCCGTAGCTCAAGGTCCACGCCGGCAGCCAGCGGGAGTCGGTCGGGGACCCCGTTGACTCTGTTCCACATGATTTTCCAAACAAACGAACGCAGGGAATGCAACCAAAGAGCTTCCGAGGCACTCTGAAGAAAACATCACGGCGCTGCCACGTTGAACATGAGATTGGTTCCGCGAAGTCACTCGATTGGGACGTTGCAGCCAGA